TCATTTCATCTTCGAAAACAACATCGCTACAAAGTCCAATATATCCTTCCCTGCTCGAACCATTAATATTTATCTCTGCCCGATTCTTGAAAAATCATTTCTCGTCGATAAGTTCGTTCGAAACAGCATCACTAAAACATTCTCCAAGATATTCAAGTATTGGCCCATGGAAATAAACGGGCATGATAATTTTACTAGTGCCGTTTCTTCCGTTCCTCGAGAAATCCTGTTCTTTTGCCGTTTTTCGTATTATCGCCTTGACCCTTTCGGTCCTGGCGGGACCAAGGAGCCCCGCTTTTCCCTCCATATATTTTGCAGGGCTATATAGGAATGCACGTGCACGACCTTGAGGCCTGGCGGGACTTCTGAGTCACCGTGACCTCTTTCGGAATTTGTATTTTTGTGATCAATGACGTTTCATTGTGGACGCTTGAATGAGGAAAACTTGTTTTTGCACCATTTATATATATATATTTTATTCGGGACTGAAAGGGTTAAACTCGCACGAACTGCCTTCCAACTCATGGATTACTACGAGCATCACTCCTCTGGAATCACACCAGCAGAAAGAAATTCCAAACCTTGTTTTCGCCAGCTTATTGTATTCTCACAGTAATGGGATCGATTAGAAAAAAATGTGGATAAATGAAAATATGAAGGGCCACAAATGTAGGTTGTGTGCTGTGTGGTATTTTCATAAGGCAACAACAGCAATACACTTTTTGGTGTGGAAAAGCTTTTTTAGTGCTTCTTAGTCAAAGTCATGACTTTTCTATGACAGAAAAATATTACATATTTTCAGTAGTGGTTCAATACTGCCAAGAGTGCAAATATGGAAAAATAATAAAATTAAAAAAATTTTCTTTAAATTGTCTCAAATAAAATCCCATGACCCATATGAGTATCCCCCTAAAATTTCACTGTCCTATGCCTTTCCATTCCGGAGATATTGAGCTTCAAAAGTGTAAGTTTTTTTATGGACACCCTTATATTTTACTTTCGGACCTCGACCCTTTGAGGAAATTGGCACCGGTGGGAATGCGGAAAAAAAAAATTTTTAACTGAAAATAGTTTCCTCTGCCGGACATGACTCTCCTTCCGCCCCCTTCGGCAGAAGGAATTCCCCTTCCTTTCTTTGTGCAGGCATCCCCTCTACAAACCGTACGAATAGAGAACAATATATATGCGGTACAGGTCTCTGCCTCGTCTCCGTGGGAGACGTTTCCGATAGGGCACAAAAGGACTGCATGAATATTCAACGACCTTCGCTGCCGAAGGACAGGAGATGCAAACCACGGTTACTGATAAGTACTGGAAAAATGCACCACGACGTATGCGACACACCTGACGGATATCCCCCCTAGAAACGAGGTTTCTCCATTTGGATCCCTTCCAATTCTTTTTTCTCGTGCCCTTTGCATCGCAAGCTCAAATAATTATATAATCTCGTGGTCATCAGGCTTACGTTGTTAATTTTTTTCACCTCTTTCGAGTCGACCGAAATGGAGCTCATGGAGATGTGGAAACTTCCTGTTACTGTCTGGTGCCTATTAGATCCAACGACTCCATATCCCTTCTTTAACTCGTTCCGATATATCTCGTAAAGCTTCTTGGACCGTTCGGTGAAAGTTTTCTTGGATCTAAGCCTATACAACGTCATCTTTCTTTGGCTCTACTGGAATCCGTGGGATGAACAACACGAATGAGTTCGCGGAATCTCATCCACGCACCGAAAAGGAATGCGCGAACGGAAATCATGCCATCCTATCAATTGCGTCACATATGAGAGTGGAGAGGCGAGGAGAAGCGGAGAGAAGGCATGGAGAATCCGCTCCGCCGCTTACCTAAGCGATCGCGTTCTCCTTCAAATTCACATTCCGCAAAACATTCTACATGGTGTTTTTCAAGAAAATTCTAAATTTGCTTTCGTTGATAATGAAATGATATTTCATGGAATCGGTCCAATCGTTACAACACCGAATGTGGATAGATATGGAAGGTTTTCGTCGAATTAGAAAGAAATACCATCGGTCACGGCTCATGCTAAAAGAAAAAAAAAAAAAAACAGATGAACGATCATCCGGTCTGCCAAATGAGCCGACCTCCGGGTCATCCTCTCGGTCAGTCACATCAACAAACCAGGCAGCGGAAGAAAAGGAGGTTTCCTGCCGGGACATGGATTCACAATTTCGGAGATTCAGCATTAATGAATGGTTATTATCACCGTCTCATTAGTCCATGACCAGATACAAAAAAATAAAACCAGTTTCTCCTCGCGACACATGGACATATAAGGAGGTAAGAATCTTCCAGGGCATGTATATCATATGGGAGAATTTTTTTCAAGCTACCTTCTCTCATCCATCTTGATCTGTTGGTGGGATGTGTCATGATGACCAGGAGACCTCCCCCTTCTTCTGGCCCCCCCTTTGTTTCTCCCATGGATGATCGATGGCGTCATTCGCGTCGTCTGCTCGTCACGAATTTTCACTTGTGATCGCTTTGTGTCTGACGATTTTCTCAATAGATATTCGCCGCCACTTTATCTACTTTCACATTCGCAATCAGCGTGGACGCGAACCATCCAACAAAAGCGTACCAATCCTACTCGTTTGCAAAATGTCATCATTCGATTGCTTCCTTGAAATTTTGGAACTCACATCCATCCACAGAGAGTTTCTGAAATGTTTGCTCCCACGGCAACACGGTTGTGTTTTCGGAGGAACTATAGCACACGAAATTCCATTATTCAAGATGGCACGTATAACTTACTGGACAATCTGAGGAAGCCTCCGTTGATCGTATGAAAAGACTGGAACTGTGTATACACTGAGGCAATGATGCTAATGTGCGAGACCAGATTTTTTTTTAAATATTTGGTCAAGAATAAACGTGACCAAAAACAATCCCAGCCGTCATTTATGCGTTTACGCGCCTAGTTACGTTGCAACTTACGTACACAACTTTTTCTTTTAAATTAACGTTAAACAACGAAGGTGTCACCGTTAGGAACCTGGCGAAGTGACTTTTTCTTTCTCACCTGGAGGGAAGGTTCGTAAACAAAATTTGTAGATCATTAACTATTAATAAAAGTTTTCTCACAGCTGTAATGCCAACAAGATCTACAAGAGGACGGTATTTCTCCCCTACGTCACTAAAATATTTCCTTCTCTGTCGTGTGCAAAACAAAAGTAGGCGTTCCTTACAGGGGAGGAAATATGAATGAGACGTCTGGGATTTTCTTATTGTCTCAAGTGACGAAGGCACGGCATTGGCAATAATAGGAAGCGAATGAGACTTCTTGGAGACGCCTAATGAGAGGGACCTGGCTCGTGTCTTCTTTCCATTCCTTTTTATTTTCATATTCTTATATCCGTCTTTTTTCTCGTTCGCATGCAGATGTGATTGGCAGGAGGCCATGGCCTCCTCTTCATGTGAACGCGACGTCTCTCTCTCTCTCGACCTCGCATCTCAAGCGCACGTGCAATGACGATGGAGTGTTCTGTATGCATGCCGCAACCAGATATCCTTAGTCTGACTTCTGCGCGATCATCAGCCTGAAACTGAATTCTCTGGAAGAAACTTTACCCTGCGGTCGCCAAAGCTAAATCAGAGTACGGTAACTTTTCCTCATTATGCGTCTGCGTGATCGAAGAAACGATAACCATGCAAGACACGAACAGAGCGTTCTCCATTCAACGAAAGATAGGTTTCGGTAGCGTCTTCTGCAACGAAGGATCGAAAGGCGCGGCTGTCGTCCTCTCCGGAGGTCCACGTCACAGCTCTCGTCTGCTACGTCTTCCCACGACGTTCTGCACCATCTCAACGTCCTGGTCGTGTTTTTTTTATTCTACGTTTTCTTTCTTCTTCTCCCGGCGGGAGATGGCAAGAGATGGTAATCGATGCTCCTTTGTCAGCTTATCTCGCGGGGATCCCTCGCTAATCCATCCTTTTAGGGGAAGGTGTGAAGAGAAAACAAACGCTTTATCCCCTGCCGCGTGCGTCCTCCGCTCTGTTTACCAGCACCGCTCCAACCTCTTTTTTGCACGAGCTAAAAACCACCGAGACATTATAGGATACACATTCTCTGAACAAACACGTACACAGGGGAGAAGCGTGGAGAGGAGGGGAAAATCGTCTATTCAATTAGGCACCATAAATTTCGGCCCGGCAATAAAACGCAACGAGGCCGCAAGGCACGAAAGAAAAAGAAAGAACTTTCTCTTTTCATCAATGGGACATAACTTAACCTCACACCTCCTCCAAAGGTCCGACCACTTCGGCTCGTGATGAATGCATTCCTCGGATTCGTAACGGGAAGCAGTGAGCCATCGCCGTCATCAGCCCGTTAATGAGCCTCGGAGTAATTAGGCAATATGCAACCGGAGACGAGAAACACGCTAATGATTCGGGAAACGGGCACACCTTGTTCCTTAACGATCCCAAGATTTATTTTATATTCTTTCTTCGCGACCACGTGCTTTGGGTACGTTCGCATACCCCTTTCGTTGCACTACATCGCTGACTCACGCGGAATTACTTCACGGTTCGTTTAGTCACTCTTGCTCCATGCAATCAGTTCGTGTACATTACATCCCATTATACGGCATAATAACGAAATCGCAGTAATAATTTTAGGTCTGAAACTCATTGCCATAAAGTGCTCCCGGGGAAAGAGGTAAGAATTTCCCCTGCAGGGGGTGTCACTAAATCGATTCGAGTCTCAAGGTCGTAGGACTACTCTTTGCAGAAAATTCCTTCCGAAATTCCCAAGTTTAGGGGAAGTACTGGCCACCGGCGAGATCTCGCTTTTGGCTCTTCATTCTCGCCAGTTTTGCGACATTTTTAGTACTTAGCTCTGAAGTGATCAGCAACGTCCCTAGGACATCGCCAAAAACTACCCCAATGACAAAAGCTTCATATTAAGAGCTAAATCAATTTTGCGACACGCTACGAACGTTTTTTCGTTTCTACGTTTTTTTCGCTAATTTTTATGCTTATCAATATAGCTTCACTTCTTGGTACCGCTCTTTCGCCTGACGGATGGGTATGTAGTACGTGAATATGAATCGAATACGACTATGAATCAGCATACATATTCATATTCATTGCCACTCCATTCGATTAGAACTCCCCTCATTCAGCCGATACCTATATTCGATTTGTTTCCGCTCTCAGGGGACTGTACAGAATTTACTCGATTCATGTTTAAGCAATATCTGTCCCCCCTCCCCTCTACCTCCCGTTTTTGTGTGCAAAAATTCACATGCGCGAATCACTTCGACGCTGTTCATCATGTTCCCACGGGAAGACCAAAAGTCATCAGTCAAGAGCCAAGACGGAAGCCACGGGAAAGCAGCAAGTTCGAATGGAGAAAATTCTTTTTTTGGCATGACCTGGAAACGCAAGAGAAGGAGAGAGAGAGAGAGCGAGAGAGGCTTTCCTTTCCCTCCTCTGACTTGACAAGCCTGACATCTCTAGAATGGAACAGTATGCCCTTCCGCTTCTCTTTAACCTGCAGTGAGTGGATCGCGTTTCCCAGAGAAGAAAAAAAAAAACACTTTGTGTCCGGCGCCATCAAGGAAAGTATTTTTTTTTCTCGCGAAGGCCCTATCGATGGCCCGAATTTCGTCTAGTCACTCTCGTGATGGATACTCACGTCCACGCGTTCTCACGTCCTTTGTCGTCTCCCGACGTGGGGGGTATATTGAACATGAGCCTCATTTCAGATTCAAAAGAACAAAAAAAAGCGTTACCGGAGAGTCTCATGAACTACGTTAAGACACTTTCATCCCTCCCGCATGACATCATCGGATTTCTACGTATCGTGTTCGATACAGGAGGCAAAGCCTTGCGACGTTCGGCCGTGCATTCTTTACGGAGGGACAAATGCAGGAATCGACGACACGTCGGAAACCCTGTGGAACTCACCGATGGGAGGCATCTTGGCGTGTCCGGACGACGAGGATGAGATCAGACACAACATCACAATCGAGGTCACGGTCGTGCTCTGGACGAGGCCCCACTGGGGCCGAATCATATCGGCCTCTAAAACCTCAGGTCAAGGGCCGGGTCCATGGCGAGGTTTCTCGATCGACCCTCGGGTTACATCACGTCCGTTGCATCAGATCCTACCGGGGCGGCTGCTCACGCCATACTCATGCTGGCCAACGTGATGCATGGCACTTTCATCCGACCGGCCTCGTTGCACGCACCACATTTCCAGGGTTACGGAAGCGGGGACTCACGTGGAGACGTCCAACGTTCTCCGTGCAACCGGGCCCTCAGCATCCCTCAGCCAAGGGCGGTCGGGTTGCACGAAGACTTCCTCACGTACCTCTGTCTTGCAACCCGGCCCTTCACCTTCCTGCTGGGCTGTTATGGAAATACGAGGAAAAGCGTGGGCAAAATGCATACGCGTGTGTGCGTTCTAACGATTTGACACACGTGTAAGTTTGTGTGTGGTCCGCAAGAAGCTCGTGCTAAGGAAGCATGAATCGTCTCCGGCATGATCTCTCACGGGCTAAGTATACAACAGTTGCGTTGTATTTATACGCATTCGTCAAGGATTTCTCGAAGAGGCCAAGAGTGACGGGAAAGTACGGAGATTCCTCCCCGTCTGAATATTTCAGTTCTTTCATGCACGTAGACATAGGTAGGCCCGAGATCGAGGAGGCGTAACTAATGACGGGTCGGAATATCACCACTAGGAGTCGCGCATCCGCCCATCCCATTCGCTTTCACGGAGATGTCTTGATAAAAAAAATGGGGGCTTTTTTTTTCTTTCCCCTACAGCCCCTTCCGAGTGAGTCCCTTATCTCGGTACACGAGAACGGGTCATTATGGGGGAGACCACGCCTGCACACATGAAATGCGAATGAGAGACCAGGGGCCAGCTGCCTCGTCTCTGGAAAGCCCATTCAAACATTATGCCTCGATGGCTCTCAATGATTTCCTCCGGTCTCCTGCCTCCATTCACGCTCATTCCATCCGCCTATCTGCTTCCATTCATTCCCTGAGTACCCTCCTAATCCATATATATTATATTTATCACCTACTATTTAAAAAAGAAATTTATAGATAAAAAAATATGAATGTGAGAGAGTGGACGATGTCGAAGCTCTTAAATCATGATAAAACATAAGAATGAATGGGGCGAATTACCACACTTATACAGTATTGTACAAGGGAACATACAATACGTGTTAAAAATAAAGTAATAGGATTCTTGTATTCGAAGGTAATGGATTTCTCGATGCGAAAGTGCGTATAGCGACGGTTCCGGACAAGAAATGTGAGCTAAATCGATCTGCGTGAAGGATATACCGATAATTAAGCCTATTCCGGTGATTATAAAGTATCGACGAAAGAGTGGGTGTTTTCGCTCCAGTTCTTTGATGATGTGCTGCTATATGTCGCTTCTGGTCACGCCATAGACCAGGGGTCCGTTCCTCGCCTGTGCTAAACTTAAATCTAAATCTAAATCTTAGGCTAAATCTTAGTCTAAAGGGTCAGGGCGAAGTATAGACTTTTTGCTTTTAGACTGCTTTTAGATTTAGATTTAAGTTTAGCACAGGCGAGGAACGGGCCCCAGATGCACCTAGAAAGAGACTTGGCTTCGTTGTTTGTCTGGCTTCCTGAGACCTATTTTGCGGCGGATCGCACCGCTTCAAAAAGAGTCCTATTCTTAAACAAATGAATTTAGGAAATGAAACCACGAAAAATGTTCCACTACGTCGAGAAGCAAACAGGCTTGGCGCATCTTGGCGCATGAAACACGCATACTCTCCCATTGGGAACGCAAACGGACTTCCCTAAGTCGCATCGAACCCTCTCAACCCGCTGTGAAAAAATATCCTGTGGGAGTCTTTTTTTTTTTCGGAGATACTGCTCGATAGAAGTGATAACAAAACGGGTTCGGAGGGGATACCCCCTTGTAAGGGGAAAATTTCGGAAGTCGCCTAGCTCAGTATGACCATGGCCTTGTTCAAATTTTTTTTTAGATGGCCATGGTTCCTCCGCTTATCCATGAAAATGTTAAGGGCGTTTCACACTTACCGTGTCATGCGTCCTTTGCGTCAATATTTGAGTAGGCAGGCAGACGCACCCATGTCCACTTACATTCAAGGGTTTTCACAAAACGCGAGCCTTGAGTGTGGAAATGGGATGAGTTCAATTAAAAACCAAGCCTTACATTTAAACCCTTGGATGTAAGTGCACATGCGTGCGTCTGCTTACCTGCCCAAGCATCGACGCTAAGGACGCATGAAACGATAAGTGTGAAACGCCCTTCACTCTTTGCGAAAGAATGGGGTGGGGCAACAATTTCGCGAGGATTCCTTGGTACGGAATTGAACAAATGTATGCTTCTCGTTAGCAGGCTGACTCACGAGCTACGAGAAACTGGTTCATCTAAGGAAGAGATGAAGCGGTCGACAAAAATTAGCTTACACTGAAAAAATAACTTTCTTAATGCGAAGGAAGCCAGTGTTTCTCAATAATACAAAGACACAAAAGTTGCTAGTTGCAAGAAAAGTTAAAATTTAATTTTAAGATACGTAGGGCAATCTGTTCAACGGATTCTCAAGCGCATAAGAAAAAAGCCTTGAAGATAACTGATTCCTAGTCAGTGTAGCAGGTCCTAGCGTCAACTTCGCGCTGCGAACGCAAAAATTAAATTTCAGTTGCTTTATAAAATCCTTTTTGGAGTAAAATTGCTGGAGTTGATCGAGGCCAACCCACGTAAATCCACCTAAGAATTGGCCGAAGAACTTGGTACTTCCCAACCGACCGTATTTCATCGCCTTCGTGCTCTTGGAAAAGTCAGCAAGTTGGGAACCTGGGTTTTACGTGGGTTTGTCTCGATCAACGCTTCCAATGCATCGCTATCGGACTCCGAAGGGCGACCAGGACGTGGTTCATCCATGAGCGATAATTCTCTCGACCCAAACTTTGTGAACCGATTCCTGCACTGGCGATCGGTGATGGTGTCCTCTCCGAGGAATGTGCATTTCTTCCTCGCCGTCTCCGTTGCATTTGAGCCTTGCTGGAACTCCCGCAAAATGCAGTGCCGAATGTGCGTTTTTTCATCATCCATTTTACCCCCTTATCATTTCAACATAAAATTGGAAAGACAATAAATTGCATATCATCAAAAAAGTCTAGTTTTCTCTATCGAATGACATATAACACGATTTATCGCGTCAAACTTGAAACAAGTTACAATCGTTTCAATTACAATCGTTACAATTGTGTGAACGAAATAAACATTGTTGTGTTAGCTACTGTTTCTTAGGTACCGCAGAAACTCAAAGAGAAGCATGTCTTTCATATCACCCAAGTCAATTGCTTCATGATCAAAAGTAAAAAAGTGCTCCAGCTTTCCAGATAAAAATAAATTCAGTCTGGCTCCTCCCACACCAAAACATTATAATGAATGCCAATGAAAAATAATCCTAGTTTCTCGGAAAAAATGCCACATTTATGTACACTGTCCTCATAACACCCCCATATCACAGAGAATTGCACACTAGCACTATGACTGCTCAAATATACGCAATGCTTCTTCCATCAACTGAAGATTCACACGATGCTTCATGAGAAACTGGCCCTCAAAGTGCAACACGGGGATGTCATATCGGTATGCACGAAGCCACTGCTCGTTGCCCGGGGCCAGGATGTCCACTTCATGCAATGTGAACTGGGATTGGAGTGGGGCAAGGGCAGCTTTGACTTCGTCACACAAGGGGCAGGGGTCCTTGGTGTAAAGCGTCACAACAGGCAGTCGTCTCAGGTGCCTCCCACTATCTAGCCTAAATCAAAGAATGAATGGGTTACATTTTCTAGACCACTCTGGGATTATATCTATTAGGTCCACAATCTACGTTTGTAGGAGTTTACATATAACAAGTCATATGCAAGTATCAGTAAGTTAACAAGAGTTAAATAGAAGAGACTTTCATAATACATTTTGGCCTTTTCCATAACTTCCAATGATGTGGAAATGGTAAGAGTGAATGGAAGATTCAAGGACTTTGGGAAGTGAAATATGGAGCAAATTTTATTACATAAGAGGGTAAATCACATTAAAAATTCCTCCAGGACAATTCTCAGCTCATTAATATGTGGGTAAGCCTACCAAGAGGAGGAAAAAAAGCATACCTAGGCAAAAAATGGAGACAGGTCCTTACGCAATCTTCTCGATGATCATGGCTGAGGCTCCTCCACCTCCATTGCAGATGGATGCCACACCCTTCTCACCTGCCTTTAAGCTGTGCACAAGGTGTGCCAAGATACGTGCCCCTGACATCCTGTCACAAAGTAAAATAAAGTTGTAATACTGCAATGAATACTCATGGCAATAATAAATACTTGATATAACCATCGTTAGTAAATAACAAGTAAGAAATATGACAGCAGCAAAGTTTAAGAACAAAAGCCTCTACATGAATAAGAAACAAGCAATGAATTCTAGTTGGTGGCTAGAAAGTCTCAGGTCAGAGGGAGTATCACTAATTAATCTGACATTTGCTTTTCTACATGTCCCTTCATTGCTTCATTTCTGTTGATTGTTGATTTTCTTTTCGCATTTTATTTTCAAGAACAATCCATCTACCACGATGGATCAGAATGGAGCCAACCTGAATCAGCCACAAGGAAATTTGGGCATTTGGACACTGTGCTTTGGCCTTTGAAGAGAAGAAAACAAGATAATAAGAAAACCAAAATGATGGAAGCCTAGAAGAAAAATAGGAAAGTGGGGAGCACAAAGGTTCATGAACACCATTGAATTCTCACCCAGGTTTTCATCAATAATACTGTAAGTGACAATCCATTAGGAGGTTCATTGAATATCCTAGATGAAAACAAAAACTCATATTTGACACATGCTAAACAAACTCCAGGATAGACAACAAATGCAAATTTAAAAAAGGAAAAAATATAGCAGTCACATTTTGTGTCCTCTTGATGAGTGCACTAAAGAGAGAAGGATGTTCAACTCCTACTTTGATTGATCAAAGAAGAAATGTACTCATGTGCGAACCAGTGGTGGTCCACATGGAGGAGTGAGGCAGGATGAGGAATAATGGAAAGTCAACTTAGCTTAGGAACATGACTTGGTTGTGGCCAGTTTAGTCTTATCACTCCTAAACCCATCCATGCTTCTGCTCTAATGATCATCTCTCACTCCCTCCATGGCTGTGGATGGCCCCCCACCCCCTTGAACTGCAGCTGCCACCCGGTCAGTATTTTAAGGACATTCACATAGAAATTCTACATGACTGTGCTCCAAAATGAAGTGGCAGCCCTAACTCAAACTCTTTGAATTCTGGTGTTGCTTCAAAACACATCTCAGAGAAAATAATATGTCCAGACATTCCCAAGAAAAGTTGTTTCCCAGAAAAACCATGCATAATTGTGAGGCCCTCCCCCACCTAACTTACTTCTAGTCTGATTTCTTATGGACTACCAAAGAATATTCCATGAGGAACTGGAAATACCATGCCCACAGAATGATTTGGAAAAATGTCACAGAATCTTCATTGATTGGCAGTCTAAATGGTCTCATGCTTTTGCCTCATGCCTTTAAGGTCAACTATAACCCTAACAACTATTATTCAGACAGTACTGTCATTCTTTCTTATTCCCAGTTGCAACCTAAGACCTTGGTACCCCAATGCCAGACCAAGACAAGATCACAATTCCATAAGCAAAACCAGATTACAATTGCACAAACCACATCACATTTGGAAGGCCATTGCACTAGTGAAAACAAATGTCTGGGACTTGGATGCTTTTGAAAATCATTTGCTCTGATCCAATTAGTGAGTCAGGAACAGACTCCTGAGTTAATACAACCTCAAATCTGAAAACCAGGGAGGAAAATAAATATGATGAAAAGTTTTGACAACACAGGAAGGCCCATAACTCTTTGTTCCTACTCTCTTTTTGAATGGGTCAAAATGGAATGAATGTTCAACAGAAAATTTTTGTAACAATGAATATGATAGTCTGACTGCAAAAGGAAACTTTTGATGAGGAAAGGTATCTTGTTTGATGTATTTAAGCTTCTCTATCTTGATGGGAGATTTTTATATCCCAGAGTCCTCCTTGGGCTGATTCCTGCTGCTTATAGCCAATTTAGTCTGTAGAAACACAGACATCCATAGCTGGAGATCCATAAGATATAGAAGAGTCAGCTGGTGATACCATGAAAGGCCATGTGGATTAAACCAGCTCACCCAATGGGATGTCCAAGGCTGACAGCTCCACCATGAATATTCACTTTGGAGTGAGGGATGTCAAGCATCTTCATGTTGGCCAGGACAACAACACTGAATGCTTCATTAACCTCCCACATTGCCACATCTTCCTTCTTCACTCCAGTCAACTCCAACAGCTAAAGAGCAAATGTGTTTTGTGTATTCACACAAGGCTAGCATATAGGATGAATTAGGGCAACTGAATGCATGGAGCAAATGCATGCCCAGGCTTGAAACACCGAAGAATATTTTCAAATGGTAACACATAAGTCAAATAATATTCTTTCCTCTATTGGAATTGACAACTTGTCAGTATACATGAGTACAAAGTAAGTTCTACTCATGTATACTGACAGCCAACCACTTCTGTCTCTAACACGTCCAACTTCCATGTTGCATGTCTTCCAATAATCACCAGTTGAATTACTTTCACAAAAGAGAGTGTCCATAGTTAACAGGGAAATAACGATTTTAATTCATCCAAAACTTGTTGAAAATAAGGCCTGCTGTAACATTAAAGCCCAAAATTTCTCAGGGTAATCAATTCTGCAAAATTGGGATCATTGAATGATCACCCTGGTCTCACTGACCAACTATAGGACAAATCAACTCTGAATTCTACCACTCATCTTCAAATTTATCTTCTCCTTATAGCAGTATAGTTAACCCAAGTTCTCACCAACTGATCACTTCTGCCATAGGCATACAATACTCTCTGTTTGATGGCATCCAAAAACACCTATTGAATGAATTCTGGGATAGATTATATAGTGGCAGAAACTAAAATGGAAAGAACAGTTTTCACTCATCCTAAATTCATCAAAAATAACATCTGCCATGATATTACAATTTCACAGCCCAAGAAATTTCTTTAGGAACTCGAATCTCTGTAAATGGGAACACTGGTCATACACAGAAATCGTCAGCCGACCACCATTGCACGGCCAAAGGGATAATGAGGCCAAATGGATCATTCATTTTTCATTTTGTTCTTTCCTCATATTAATTATAATCCCACAAAAGGAGACAGTGATGACTTTGAGTTTTACCACAATTATTTTTTCATCCTGAAAGTCAGCAAAAGTGATGGCAGTGTACCTGATCTTCAATTGATCCTCTTCAAATAGAGGGGGATGGGTAGAAGACTAGGTGATATTGGCATGAAATCCAAAGATTGAAAAAAATATATATCCAAGCACAGGGATGGATTGATTCCTTGATGGACCCTATGGATACAGGGGTGTGTTGGGTTCATCTTTCAATACCCCACTTTCAAAAGTTGAGGAAAACAAAACCAGGTCACTTGGGAGGTAGGAGTGAGCAACACAAAAATGCGAGGATTCATTAACACTTTTGACCCTGGTGATTTAATGGGCGTAGGACGTCATATGATGAGGTTTCTGACAGTTAACACTTTGAGCTAGGGCTCAAAGTGTTAACCCTTTCACAGTTCTGTTTTTCCAAAACCTTCCTGGAGGATGACTGATATTTCAGGGTGTAACCCTGAAAGGGTTAATAGAGAAGAAGGTAGCAGAAAGGCGAACGACAATGTTAGCTGCAGTTGGGAGGGTATGGGGAAAGAAGGCAGCTTTTCACAATTGCCACACTTCTCTCCTATGGCAGGCCAACAAGAAGTTCCATTTTCCGGACTGCTGGCCAAACACCATGGTCACAACATTCATGCTGTCTGACAACCGGTAATAATTTTACTAAAGTACATTACAGGCAAAGGAAGTGCAGGAAATGATGCTGAATTTGTTATGTTACTTCAAGCACACTGTGAAACTTGTGCGAAGGTCTCATGCACTCCCCAGATGCCATGTTTGGGCCTAACTCTGTTTTCACATTAGAACTTCTCTCCAAAATTTACACCATCTTCTATTGATGTTACAAGAAACAATATTGTTGTGGCCCTTTGCGGTGAAGGGCAGAGAATTGCTTGGTTTCAGATGTTCGAGACAGCAGTGCTTTTCAGTGGCTGGCCAGCAATCCCAAAACCTGCCTGTATGGTCAGTGGTAACTTACTATGCATTTTTGATTCACTAATGGATCAGTAATATTTTTTTCCTGTTGCTTTTGCACTGTGATTATTTTCACCAGATTCAGGAGTTTTACAAGAATGTCTGACAGGTAACCTATTAATCTACCAGAGAATCACTCCAGATCAGATTCTGAATCTGATCACCATTATTAAGAGCATCCAGCAGATGTTTGAGGCTTCCATCTTTGACATATGGTGATGAATTGCAGTAAAAAGTAATGCTAAGTTCTCTTTCAAGCAAGGCTGCCTAAATGGCACTGCTGCTTTAAAAGGTTCTCTGTTTATGAGGCAGCAATATGTGAGTTGATGAATAAAGCATAATACACCAGAGCATTTCCTTGAAAAGGAGGTTCTTAGCTTCAGCATGACTGTTCCATGTTTGTAAGATTCAAAGGGTATCCAATTATCTATGGGAAAGGCCTATTTATCTATGTGCTGCAAGTGTAGATGATCAAATCAAAAAGTTCTGCAACCAAGGTTTGAAAAAAAAAAAAAGAAGCCCACATAAACTTGTGGGAATAAACATTCCAGAAAACTTGTGAGCACATCCCCTCAAAGAACTTCCCCCCAGCATCTATGCACTGCTGCATGTGCATTTTCCACTTTTGGAGAGCTGTACTCAAGTCTGACAGAAATACTGGACAACTTAATTTGTAAAGCCTTTGTGAGTTCATTTATATGGCCCCTCCAGAATCATTGAACTTCAGCTGAGAGGATAGCCAAAAGTCAAAAGAGTAGAATCAAGGATTATGGTGGTGGTGAAGAAGAGTGATGCCTACCTGTCTAGGTAGGGTGTCCTTAGCATTGCCTTGTGAGGGCCAGCATTGTCAAAGTGAAGCAGCACTTTTGATATTTTCTGTCTTTTGTATAAATTTCTTAAGTTCTTTGAAGACCAGCAAAACTTGCCAAGTACAGTAATACCTTGCTGTATGCTTGGTTTTTCAGGAACACATCCCGAGCATACAGCAAGGTATTACTGTATGGTACACAGCTGTGATGGTTCTAGTCTTTGGCTTAACAGCCACAGGATCTTGAAAATTAAAAAAGATAATGAACATCCTTTCAACTTCAAAAACAAGGCTTCTACACTTGAGGTCAAGCCTCATCTTCAGAAAGCCAATCTATGTTGGGCTGCTTATCTTTTCTGGTGGAGAAGGATATCAGATATTCATCACTTGTGACAATATTGGAGTGTCACTTTGGACCATTGAGTCTTATCTCAAGCCATTGGTTACAGACTTGGACTCATATTTCTGATTTTCTGTCAGGATACGAGGGACTATCTTATACATATCTTAATCTTTTTTCAAACCCTCATGGACAAGAGTGTGGGCATTTCTGTAACTGATCAAGAGATAAAAATCTCTTAGTGATACTGAGATCCTGGTGAAGCCAGCATGGGCTATTCTTGCTATTTTCACAGAAGTTTACATACAGACAAAGTGAGCCTCAAGTTCTTCTTCCTATCCTATCCTAATTCAATTTACAACTGTACCAAAGAAGTATGTACTGGGCATTGCCCATAGATAGTCCACAGCCTAAACTATAAGAGTTAGGAAAAAAACTCAAGAGCATTATTTTTCTAATCTAAAAGTGTACTTCTAGCAATTTTTGTGCACCTTGGCTGTGTCCCTGACAGCTTTAAGACAAGTAGGATAAGATGAAAAGAGACCCCTTAAGATTTCAGTGTCATCTTCCATGTCCTACAACACTCTGGTGGTGTTGCTTTGCAAGGCTTCTCAGGAGAATCCATGCTGCTTGCCCTCCATATGCATGAGAGCCTCAACTCGCTCTTTCAGCAAAACCCCAATGTTCTCAGCCACATTCAGATCAGGAGAGTTTCATGGCAATTCCACATTTCCAAAGAACTCAAATTCTAAGTCTTTCAGAATTTGCTGCATGGTCAAAGCTTTAGAAAATAGGGCTTTATCAGGTAGAAGCTGAATGTTTCATCTTTTTCTAAAGCCATTAACAGGTAACAAATTCAGCTCTGGCATCACAGGCTTCTTGAAATGTAATAGCATGGATGTGATCAATGAATTTAAGTCCTTCACTATCATATGACATCAGAAACAAAAAAATGGGATTGAATCAATCAATCAAATGGGATCAAAATTTAACAAGGATTCCAAATATATTTATAAAATTTTTTTTATAGCTCCTATAGTTTAGGCTGTGTATCTATGTGCAACACCTGGTACACTCGCCATAAACATTAGACAAATCCTCCTTTGCTTGGGTGTTACAGCTTCTCACAATTGAATATACAGGGTAGGCCTGGAAGACTGGCAAAAAATATGATATGACATAAAAATAAAAAATAGATTAAAAAATGCATGAAAATTTTTCATTTTTGTGAAATTTTTTTGCTTCAGGTTTGAAAGCATAGTGCAGAGAATTGTCACCACAGAATGGTCAATGGTGGATCGAGCAAGAATTTTGGAGCTTTATTTTAAATATGGTTCAGTAGCAAAGGCTTGATGTGATTTCTGATGAATATATTGCATAAGGAGATGTCCATCATGTGCCATGATATTGGAATGCACCTGGCCAATTTGGAGAGACTGCAAGTGCTTAGAATGTAGCAAGGCCAGGATGCCCTACCTATGTTGTCTGGACTCCAGAAAATGTGAGAGTACTAAGTGCAGCAATCCAGGGATGTCTGTGGCACTCCACACAAAAAACTGGCTCAAGCATTGCAACTCAGCAGAACACCCCTCCTTCACAATTGTCAATTAGACAATGGCATCCCCTGGTTGACACAGGCCAAGGCTGTCAGTATTAGAATAGTTCATCATTAGAATAGAGAGGGATAAATGGCAATCTGCAGTAGTCACTGAGGTGTAGCCAGTTTCATTTGCTCACCTGCCTCTGAGCAACAGCAGTTCTGCTGTTATTGCAGCAGCATGCAAGAAGGTTTTATCAATCATGTCTGGGGCCCGTTTCTGACAAATTTGTAATGTCCACAGACTTAAAAGGGGGTACATGCTGGTAACTGGCATTGATGGGCAAAACTTGAATTTGGCATGTCCCAAAGTTGGAAGGGGAAAAGCTGGGTGAAATAAAAAGTTTCAGAGAAAAATTATGGGTGCAGTCTGCAGGCATCTGCAGGGAAGGAATGAGGTCAGTCAACCAATTTGAGTTTGACACCCTTTCTTCAATGGATGCAGCTTTACCTGAAGCATTTTTTACCAGTCACAACATGAAGTGCCTCAGAATCAAATAAACAGTGGCTTCCTGACCTTTTCAGGACCATACCTTGTTTGTAGCAAAGACAGGAGCAATGGGGAAGTCTATGGGTTCAGTGGCCGCATCAGCCAAGCCAACAATACGAGCCAAAGGCTTGAGTCCTCTCCGTTCAGCCTCAGCCCCAGTGGTCAGCACAAGGGCACAAGCCCCATCATTTAGTGTGGAGGCATTAGCTGCTGTCACAGTTCCACCTTCTTTCTAGTAACACAAAAGATGACAGAATGACTTCCAACATGCATGTCCAGGAGTCATGCATATGGTAGCTGTTCTATGAATGTGATATACATGAAACTGTTGATCTTGATTTAGAAATGCACTTTGAGGAACGAAAGTGCAATGAACTTCTTTCAAAATATTGACTAAATTTTAAAATGGCTTTTTATTCACTGGAGTCATATATGCCCAAAGGCCCAAGTTAACTCAGACAAGACATTTGGCATCACATACTTAATTCCATCCAAAATACCATACTTTTTAGCAAAAAAAGGATCTTGCTATTGCCTGCATTAACTTTTGGTAAAATCTATTTTCTTCCTTGCTCTTACCATGAACACTGTAGAAAGCGTCTTGAACTTCTCAAAATTAACTCTGTGGTACTCTTCATCATCCTTCACCTCCACATTGGGTTTGCCTGGAATTATATTTTTCATTACATACTGTTTGAAGTCACCTTTCTACAAGAGCTGAGAAACAATCAATATGAAGTCTATCTTCTTTCATTCAATAGGTTCATGATGTAACTCCCTCAGTAGCTGCTACAATGGGTGAAATTATTCTCAGACACATACTATTGATGTTGTCAGCACTTTTCTCTAAGTTTGAGAGGGGGAAATAGAATAAGTTTGATGTGAACCAGTTCTGAAGTATATGGTGTCCCAATGAATCGTAATGATTTGATTTTCGATAAATTTTTTAATTCTGCACCAATTCTGATCACATTTATAACCTTTGCAGAGCATTTCAAGAGAATTTAACTGACACCTCATTGAGCTCAAATGGATTAATAAGAAATGAGTTTTGACAGTTTCTGTTATGTACTCTTTTTCATAGAAAAATAACCTAGCAGCATATCACATTAAACCAACATTGATTCAACATCCGGATGAAACAACATTGAATCAATGTTGTTTCAATCTTATATGCTGCTAGGAAAGGTAATTTCTGCAACAAATACTATTTATAGGAATGATAAAATCACTGTAGGAAAAAAAGTGATTAGTAGCACATCTTTCTCAGAACGGCAAAGCCTTGAATGGCCCTTGTACACCAAGGCCAGAACTCATTCATTGGCTGATTCAGATAAGGCCCATGATGCAACTCTTGAAGAATGAAGTTTCAGCATGCCAAATTGTGTTGATTCGCACCACCATGCACGTGAAAATTCACTTTTAAAAAATGTTGCCAATTTATCATCACCAATTGACTTCAGTATCTCCCATCATGAAATTCCTCAAGGAATATCTGTTGTTGGCTTTTCAAAATGCATTCCATACCCCTCAACTCTGAGAGATGGTACACGCAATAAGCACACATAAGCACAAGCAATTAGGCTGCTGGAGAATGAGTAAAGCCGCATGAAAGAATGGTGTCTGCAAGGATTGCCGTAACTTCATTTATTCTCCACCCTTTGTACCCAAATAGGTGTCAGAGGATTCTCTTGAAACACTTCATGAAAAGATGTAAATGTGATCAGAATCTATGCAGAATTTATGAAGTTATTCAAAAATCAAATTGTTATGATTCATTGGGACACCCTGTATTTCATAATGCATGACTTCTTTGGTAATCATTATTGACTGTGACTGGAAGGGAAAGTGACTTGCTGAAAGTTAAAGCAAATACTGTACTGTCCACATAAAGCAAATCAATTCCAAAGAACAAAGGTGCATAATATAAGAAAACCACACATGGGAAATACTCACCCTTCTTTCCAGGCACACTGACTGGAATTATTTCAGTTTTGAAAAGCCCTTGCTGATGAGCCTCAGCAGTACGTTTATAGCTGCTTATTCCATATTCATCCTGTTCCTCTCGAGAGATCTTAAGTTTCTTGGCAGTGTTTTCTGCACACACCCCCATGTGGACCTTGTTGTATACATCCCATAAGCCATCATGGACGATCCCATCCTATAAGAGCATGGATATCAAATCATCTTTGCAAATATACTTCACAAAATAGGCATGTGGAATTCCCATCAAAGAACTTCTCACATGTGCTGATATAAGTCTCAGTTTCAAGGTATTCATTATAAGAATCCAACCAAGCTAAATGGAGACCAACTGATACCACATAACAAATTAGGTGCATTGAACTTTGGCTAAGACTAGGTGAGCTACTCACTTCAAACACTCAGACCTCTTGAGAATGAGATGTTCACTGCACTTGACCACACTTACTACCCACTCTCATTTATTCATTGCCTGCCATGACCAAATGGTTAACATGAATGGCTTCAAGGAGCAATCATTCCAAGGGTCAAGTATTCATGAAAGAGCACCTGCCCATGTACACATTCAGAACATGCATTCACATACCCACTCAAAAGCTAAAAACAACCACTAGCAGTTCATCTGCATATGTTATTATTGTAATCAGACTATTGTAATATCTTATTATTGTAATATCTTATGGTTTTAATGCTCACATCCTTCAATAACAGCAAAACTGTCATGACTGTTTGGTAGCTTAAACTGTGCAAAAGGGAATATATTATGACTGCCAAATGGGACAATGATGCAAATTACGCTGCATAAGGTACAATTAAAAAATAAGGCAAAAAATAATGTAAACCAGTAGTCCTCACTATGAGACGAATTCCCCCATATGGAGTTTCTCCTCTTTCCATGTAATAGGGGACATTGGACATGCTCTCCATTCCCCCAGCAACCATGATGTGTGTGTGGCCACACTGGAGACTCTGTGCTGCCATCATCACTGCTTTCAAACCTGATGCACACACCTTGTTAACTGTTGTACAGGGGGTTGAGATTGGAAGCCCTGGAAAATATTAAAGACATTCAGTAGGCCAACATTTCCCTGTTTGAGGTCCCAAATGCTCAGCATGAATCATGTTCTTCAGTGTTTTTCACTTAGGTCAGACATTTTTTCACTTGACTTTCACTCTTATGCAGGAATTTCCCATGCATGTGTGTCCAAGTCAAGTGAAAAATTATCTAACTCAAGTGAAAAACATTGTAGGCAAGGCCCAACCTCCAAATAAAGCAGCCTGTCGAGCGGGAGCTTGACCAACTCCTGCTTGCCCCACACAGCCCATGTACACCTGATCAACATCTTCTGGTTTTATCCCTGCCTTGTCCACAGCTGCCTATAGGGAAAATATTTGGAACAAAAAAAAAAGAGATGCATTGGGCAGGCCAACCGTTTGGCTCTGGTTTGGTCTGATATTTCCAGCTCCTACCTTGATCGCAGCAGCACCAAGGCGTGGAGCCGGCAGAGAAGCCAAAGAACTCCTGAAAGATCCAATTGGAGTTCTCAGAGCACTGACGATGACTACATCCTTTACAATAGCAGTAGCGCTGCTGTAATAAGCCACCGGCAAGCGCAGCACAGGCTTCCCAGCATTGGCCAACAGGACCTCGGGGCTATATCGGCCTAACTTAACGGTTAGGTCAGCCAGACACCTGGACACCGAGTTCATCCTGCAGTCCCCGCAGTATCAACCTATTGAGTTTAAGGGAACAGAGGATTATAAGAAAAGATTCTTAATGCGCTCGTGACACCGAAAATGTGAGTAAATTCACTCGAAAACACAGATCAAGAGCAAACCAAGTTCACACGTCTGTGAACTTCATTTGATACCACGGCGAAGATGAAAGGGAGAGAGTGCAGGCATGAGATCCGCCATGCCACATGGTCACCCACTTTTGCGGGCAGCGTCTGAAGATTCTTTGCCGATTTATACTGTTGCAGAGCCGTTTTGTTTAAACGTTCGCGGTCGATAGTATATCCAAATGTTTTTGAGGATATGGCGTTGAAGTAAAATCCATTAGCACCATGTTCTCCGAAGTTTATACGTCCGTGTCATCTTCTCAAAAAAGTACCATGCCATACAGTGGCTGCCAGCACGATCCATTTAACGAATACGGTCACGAAGCTGCCCCTGGCCATGGCTCTATGGGGCTGGGAGAACGGAGACACTGCACATTTAGCTATCTAATGCCGTGACGGAGACATGTTTGCTCGCCAGATGTCTCGGGAATCTGTTGCCGACCGCTTTCTATTCGCGTCTCGTCGTGCACAGTACTATCACAGAAGTACACTTTTTTGTTGCTCTTTCTCTCAATCTCCTATTGCATACTTTCGCCTAACGTTGAAATGATAATGTTTTCGGATTGAATTTGTACCCTCTCCCTATAGGGGGGAACAGAAAAAACACAACAAAATGATTCACTTCATCAGGTGATGAATTTAACCAACCAAATGGAAGATGTCATCGATGAAATCAATGGAAGCAATCGATGGAAGCCCTCCTACGGGGGGAGGGGGGGGGGAGTTCAAATTCAATCTGAAAACAGTGTAGTTTATTATTAAAGATGCGAAGAGGACACGAAGTGTCCTCTTCGCATCTTTAATAATAAACTATAAGTGACCCTTCTAAAAGAAGCAGACGAATCATTGGTTCTACGCATCTTTGTTCCTAACGGAAACTGTGAACTGTGAATCTGCTTGACTTAAGTCGTGAAGCCCACCTCAACGTAAAAGATTTAATTAAAGATAGGTAAATATGAAGAATGGGATAGGTGTGGAGCAATGAAGGAAGTCGGGACCCCGATAAGCGATTGCCCTCCTCACCTTCGTAATCTTGGGAAGAAACACATGCTTCAACTGAGGAACGTCACCTCCTTCTTTTTCTACTTCTTTTCATATATTTTCCCTCTTCGAAATCGCTACAGATTCCTGATGGTTTGCCATTAGAGGCCGTTTAGGCGAGCAATCCAGGAGTGATTTTGGCTTGACTGGCAACTGTTGGACGAGAAAGTATCGCTTCTCTTCCACTGGGACTCGAAGTGGACATGCCACTCAGCAATCACTGTCAGTGCCACTTCCTTTTTTTCTTCGTTTTTCCACTTCCATCTTTCTACTATTTCTTCTACTCACCTCCAGCCCGTTACACATTGACAAACTCATCTCTCAAGTTGTGACTTTTTTTCATATATTCAGAGGCACGGCATCATCATCTTCACGCCTTCCTTTGATGAATCCAGTGAGCGTTAACTAGGAAGAGAAAGAGGCAGAGAACCCCAGCACAGGTGGAAACGAAGAGGAAAAGACAGAAGTCTTGGACAGATGGAGACAACGGTGACCCACAGATCCACTGCAGGTCTGCATTTTATTGGCGAAAGTTCTACAGTGAATGAGCCCGCCTGCATTTCCGCTCCCTGTCTTCTCATTCCTCATTACCTTCGTCTTCGATTTCGGCTCTCTCTTGCATGAAATAGTTTTGAAATGAAGCTGGAAACATTATTTTGTTCGTTCGTCTGAGAAATACCTAGTTATGTAGAGGGTCATTCCCTCGAACGTGCAATGATCCAACAAATTCTGCTCTAAAATGTTTTCACTATATATACCCATTGCCGAAAAAAGACTCGACCAAAAAGGAGCTGAGCGATCTTGATGAAATTTGGTACACAAGCTCGTACTAGCATACCATAAAATCGATTAGAGTTTCAAGCGTGTGGGATGAGTATTCACGGAGAAATTTTGCTAAAAATTCAAAACCAATAGCGGTTATGGAGTAATACTAATCGCTCGAAACGGTCATCTAGAGAGTTTTTATTGATGAAACCTGGCAGAATAACTCCCAAAAGTGAAGAAAAATCGACAGAAGTTTCGAGGTTGGGAGATGAGGCAATTCTGAGAAAACTTGTCAAATACCCCAGTAATTGGGGAAGAGGGTGGCACCATTGAAAGTGCCAGTTTCCGTTTCTCTTTCCCGCAAGCCACTTCACTATGGGGCCGTTGTTGAGAGTCTAACTTAGATGCAATGCCAAGGTGAGATCTCTTGGCAATTTCAACAAATTGTAAGTTTTTTTAAAATTATCCATGAATGGTAATTGGGATGCTTACCATGCATCAGCCTGATGTATGAAGCTGACACATGCATCCCAATCAGCCTACATCGATGAGATACCGTAAAAACATGTTGAAATTGTCTCCAGAGATCTCTCCTTGGCACTGTATCGCAGTTAAGGTCGTTTCACACTGTGTGTCATGCGTCCTTTGCGGCAATGCTGAGGCAGGCAGGCAGACGCACGCGTGTCCACTTATATTCAAGGGTTTTCACAAAACGCAGGACTTGCGTGTGGAATTGGGATGAGCTCGATTGAAAACGCAAGCCTTTGCGTTTTGTGAAGTTTTGGGATACGCTTGCGGACATGCGTGTGCACGAGTGCGTCTGCCTACCTGTCCAAGCATCGACGCAAAAGGACGCATGACACGCTAAGTGTGAAACGACCTTTAGACTCTCGACAACGGCCCCATAGTGAAGTGGCTTGAGGAAAGAGAAAAGGAAACTGGCGCCTTCAATGGTACCACCCTCTTCTCCAATTCTTGAGACATTCGACAAGATTTCTCTGAATTATTTCATCTCACTACCGCAAAACTTCTCTAGATTTTTCTGCTCGCCTTTAGGAGATTTTCTTACACCTTTCATCAGTAAAACTTAGGTGACAGTTTTGAGAGATTAGTATTGTCGCTCTTGGTATTGAATTGTTTGGCAAGTTTTCTCCGTGAATATTCATTCCACACGCTTGAAAATCCAATCTACTTCATGGTATGCTAATACGATAATACAAAATTGTGTACCAAATTTCATCAAGATCGCTCAACTCCTTGGTCGTGCTTTTTCTTTGGAGATGAGTAAATTACATCTCGCTGGATCGAGGAAATGCTATGGAAAGGAGAAGGCCATTTTCGCTGTGGGGCGAGGTGGATACCTTGACCGATGGTGGACTGGCTGCAGGAAGTTCGAGGATCGCTAAGAGCGAGGCTTCATCACAGGCCGATTCTGTAGGCGCTTCCGACAGCTGAGCGGCTGTGGATGGTTCGCACTCAGGGTAGTCCAACTCAACACTGACCCCCTCTCCTCCAACTCGGTTGGTAGTGATGAACGCTGGCGAGAAATGGGGATCTTCAGGTCGGGTTCGCAGGCGTTCAGTGGCCCTTGCACGAACGCCAGTTCGGTTCCGTGAAGCCGTTCAACACGCCCACTGTGAAGGTAGAGTTAGCATCTGCAGGCATGGGAGCGCCTATACTTTGATAACACCTCTTTCCGAGCCTTTCATCAACTCCTCAGATCTAAAAAACTCATTCACCCATTGACCTCTGACTTACGTTGATTCACACAGTTCAGAAGGACACCACCACCCGCCAATTCCCTCTTTCAGAATATTTATATTTTCTCATCCTCGAGACGAAAATTTCGAGACTTCCAATTTTTCTTCATACATATGCAGCAATCATATCACCGAGTCTTCTTCCTATGCTGGAGCCTCGAGAAAGAAACAGCGAAATTCAATGATGGTGTCATACTTTTGGCATTAGATTCTAGATAATCTCTGAACTTTGTAGAAATTGGATATCTTGCAGTAATATTTATTTTAAAAAGTGGCGTGAAATATAATAGGAAATAAATTTATTTGGAAGAACATTCATGAAAAACATACGTCTTCGGGTATTTTCATGCTGGGACACACCTGTGCTTTTTCCCTAGATAGCTCCTTATTCCATGATTCGATTGGTTGCAAATTGTTTATTATTACAAAACCATCTTTATCTGAATTCCCAAGTATGAGGAATTTTCGTCAATTGCGGAAGAGAACGGCAGACAAATAATAGAGGGAAAAATAGAGAATAAGCCACCCAAAGCAGGGATAGCGACGCGGGAGTATCGAGCGGAAAGTGGTCATATTTCAAACCACGGTCGCAAGATTATGGGAAAATATTTCCAAAGGTTTTTGTTTGACCAGACTCTTGTTCGTGACGCAAATAGGTCGTGATGGTGTCAAAATTCAAGGTCAAACGAAATAGGGAAGGTCAGGGAGTCGATGACCCTTGCTGCAAGAGTATACCATTTGTAGTTTGGTTTTGCATCGTTTGAATTCAAATGTGTTAATGATTCGCTTCCACCATGATAACGCCTAATAAGGGTCTAGTCAAAGCAAAAAACCGGGAAACGGTTATTCTATCTTCAATGGTTTTCCAGTAAACCTGAACCCTCCCTTTGTTAAAATGGCATTCTAATAGAGAATTCAGTTTTAAAATCATCAGGCATTGTGTCAAAAGCTCGGCAGAAGACTGAATCTTCCAATTATTTTCCCGCGTCTCCAGGGGAAAATAAGAACTGCATCCAAGGGGGGGGGGGGGGGGGGGGGGGGGAAAAAAAAAAAAAAAAAAAAGAAGAACATCCTCCCGAACGTGTTTCTTGTCATTCCTCCNGGGGGGGGGGAAGGAAATAAAATAAAAAAGGAATCAATGCACCAGGGATTTTCACCCCAAGGACCTCGGACGTGGAATGATTGCATAAATGGTATTCGCAGGTCGTGATACCTAACTGAACCGTGTGAAACGGGCAGAAGGATTCGGGGAAGGGACCTCGTGATAGAATATGTCCTATAGATATGAAACAAAAATATCCGGTTTCCTGCTTCCTACTGCAAAAAAAGATATTTATTTATTTAAATCAGATGTCTTCAATTGATTGATTTTTATTTTTTAATATATGCTCTTGCGCAGCTTTTCTTTACGGTTCCAGTATCCATTGTTTGGGTGTGTACTGGGTCATTGTAGAACATGTACATTCAGCATTATGTGCGTTGAAATATCACGGTTGCGCAATCTCTAGTGTATCCTGCTCCCGTTGCTACTGGATTCCATGGCTCTTCTGCTT